AGTCCTGCCCACTGAGTGAGGCAGCCTGAGGGAGCAAGGTCACCTCAGGATCTGGCTCTAGCCCTAAGGTTCTTCAGGTGCTGTGCCCAGAGCCTGAACCTGGGCAGTCCAGCCAAGCCAAGGGATGTGGTCCCTAGTGCTCACAGGCATCACTGGAGACTCAGGCACCCCTGCCACTCCAGGGAGCCTGCGAGGGCAGCTGGATGAGTAGGGTGGCGGGACAGGGCCATCACCGCTGCTGGAGCCTCACAGTGGGGTTTGGCAGTGGTTTGCCAGGGAGGTTTCTTCTTTCATCACCCCAGAGGATAAATCCATGGTATGGGACCTCCCAGCACTTACGAGAAGCCTGGCACTGAGCATCATAGGGGACAGATACTGGATCAGGCAGCCTCCAAAACCCTGTCTTCCCCACCCCATATCATCTGAAAGTCATCTCTGCAGCTCCCTGCCAGCCCTGCTTGGCTGCCAGACTTCCCATGCCACAACCTCTAGCCTCCTCCAAAAAGATTCCGAGGGCCACCCACCTGCACTAGCCAGCACCTTCTCAAAAGCCCAAGGACCAGGACAGCCCTCAGCCCAGCCCTCTGATGGCAGCAGGGGCTGTCCCTTAGCTCAGCCCGACTCCCCCAGCTGCCCCCAATCCCAGCTGGCAAGGGGGCACCCTGAACAAGACACGTTTATTCAGTGTACTTGTATCCACCCATCCCAAAGGGCGAGAGGGGCCCGAAGGTGGCCGCCAGGATATTTACCCAGTGCTTGGCTGCCTGACACTGTGTCTTCTCTTCGGAGCTGGCCCGGCATCAGGGAGCCTCCTGGGACAAAAAGGAAATTGATCCTGCAGGATGCACCCACCCTCTTCTGGCTGACAAGAACACTGCACACCTGCCCTTCTCTGGGGTGTCCTCTTCTCCCTCTGCCCTCCTTGGGCATGGCCCTGGCCCCACTGGTCAGCCTCCAGAGCCCCAGATCTCCTGCTCTGACCAGGGAGAAGTGCCTGTGCCCCTGCCCCACAGCCAGCCAGGAATCTGGGGCAGCCAGCCCCTGCCCTAGCCTCACACCAGGAGCAGGCACTCCTCCCTGGCCACTGGGAAAAAAATCACATATTATTAGACAGTATATTCAGAGCTTGACTGCTGAGCACACTTCCATAAGAATAAACACTGTTGATTACGTTTTATTGCAAAACTTAAAAAGCACAAATAAAACCCCATCTCCCACAGCCTGTCTGTAGCCCTTTGTATTCTGTGTCATTAGCATCTTCCCAGAGAGTGTTCACACATACATGGCCATAGTGCTCACTGCTCCCAGTGTTTTCTCCAGAAGTACAAGTAACTCCTCTGCCTCCCACAGTCAGCTGTCTGAGCAAGCTGACCCCTCCCAGCCCAGCAATAACCCCATTGCAGACACCCTCACAAACACCCACAGCTCTTGGGGTGCTACACAGCCCCCCTCTCCAATGTTACACCCGCTCCACTGCCCCCACTAACTGCTCAGCCCTCTGCACACCAGTCCCCTGCACACCCAGCACAAGCCAGACATCCTCATCAGCAAATGCCAAGCTCAGCTTTTCTCAATTTCCATCTGGAGTTTATGAGCCCACAGCCAAGATAGGTGTTTAGGCTGCTTACCCCATAGAAGCTCCCACACTGGTGGGACATAGAGCCTGTAGCAAGGTCTGGGCTCCAGCAACTTCTCAGACTGGTGGGAGCAAGGTCTGGGCTCCAGCAACTTCTCAGACTGGTGGGTGTCACAGCCTGGTGGGCACTGGCCCCCCAGATTCCCTGGCTTGGGGGAAGCTGCAGCTGGCTGGCAGCGACCCAGGCCATGGCTGTTCCCAGCTGCACAGCAGCCAGGGTCACATTCCTGGGATAGCTGGGAGCTTTGCTGTTCACACAAGGAAAGGTCATCGTTGTGCACACAGGCAGCTGGTGGGATCACCACCCGGGGAGGGCAGGGGAAGGAGCAGCCGTGGGAGGCAGAGGAAGCTCAGTAGCTCCTGTCAGAGCTGAGGTGCTCTCTGGCCCCAGCCCAGCAGGATCCAGCCCTGGCACAGCTGACAGGCAGCTGCACACAGCTCTGAGCAGGGGGCAAACAAGGCTACAGCAGGAGAGATGAGAATTCCAGTAAAACGTGGAGAGCTGGTGGCATAGGAACACCATTTCTCCAGGAACATCGGCAGGATAGCAGGGCCAAAGCCACAGAGGTGTCAGAGTGACCTGGGACTGGGACAGCTTTCACTGGGATGACACGAGAGCCAGCTGAGGACAAGAGATTTATTGGTCATTCTCTATATGTAATTATATATTAATCTGTAGTAGAAAGCAGCAGTCACTAAGTGCACAGAGCAGCACCAACTCCTGCCTTTTCTCACACTGGAGATCCAGCCACACAGCCCAACCCAAACTCATCTTTCCTCCTCTGGGCTACAGCCAAATTCAGGGGTAAAAGACTAAACCTGCAGGCAGTGAGGCTGAGGAGCACAGGAGTGACTAGCAGAGTCTCAGCTGAGCCAGGATGAAAAATCCTAGCTAGTCTAGATCCCAAGGGATTCAGGAGGAGCTCTGACTTGATCCCAAAAATACAGTCACTTATAGCACAGCACTGGGGAAGGTAGAGACAGAGCCCTGAGGATGTTCTGCCCCACCCAGGGGGTGAAGGCAGGACCACGAGTAGGAAGGATGGCTCTTCCATCACTGAGCCAGGCCAAAGGGCCTGGGCAAGCATGTGGCAGGGCACAGCAAGTGCCAGAGAGCACCCAGGGCTTGGAGCAGCTGCAAGGATGTGGCACAGCCGTGGGCACTGCTCCAACACAGGGACCCAGCTGGTGCATGGCAAGGAGGGCTGGTCGGTCCAGCCTGGTGCTGGCAGGAGGAGCACAAGTGCAAGTATCCTCTGGCAAGGGAATGCCATGCTGGGATCCAAACAGTCCAGGCTCCCAGTGGCAAGGGTGCCTGCTCACTGTCCCAGGTGTCAGGCAGTGCAGGTCACAGGAGCTGGCTGGGCCTGTTTCATCACTTGATGAGCACCTGGTTGCAGAGAGCGCACACAAACACCGTCTCCTTCTGAGCCTCCGGGGCTGGAAAGGAAAGCAAGTGTCAGGGACGATCCCCCTTTTCCCACCATGGGCTAGAGACCACAGCCACAAAGCTGCTTTGAGAGCTGCAAATTCATCACTGCTCCGTCCTGAGCCAGGCTGTGCTGGGCACATCCTGTCTACCCTCCCCACCAGGGCTGGAGCAAATGCCTGGGCAAACAGAACAGCTGGAAGCAGGAGCACCTCCCTCCACCTTCCAACTCACCCGTGGCTCCCATCACAGCCTTGGGGACTTTGAAGGAACAACACCTGGAGCAGAAGCTGTTCCCACAGTTACTGCAGCTCCGCTGTGGAGAAAGATGGAGGTGAGTCCCAGACATATATCAGAGTAACCCAGAAGTATGTGAAGGGGCCAAAAGTCTGTACCTCCTCCTGAGAACTGCCCACAGACTGTGTGCTGAGCATCACACACAGGGCTCAGACAAGGCAACAGGTCATTCCCACTAGCAGACCCATGCTCTGCTTCACCAGCAAGGCCACAGGAAGTGGACTAAACCAGGGCACAGAGCAGGTACATTCTACAACAGCATGTGGGTTTGGCCTGAGGCAGTTTCCAAAGGAGTAAATGGACAAATGCTCCACCACACAAGGGATCCATGGTGCCATTAGGCATGCGACAACACCCAGCATTTAGCTGAGGCCACTTGGGCTGTGACTGAGGCCAGACACCTGAGCTGCTGGAGAAAGCTGGGGCAAGCCAGACATGAGCAACACCTCTGCCCCAGGTGCAGACAGCAAGCTGGGGCAGAAGTGGAAGACTCACCCTCTTCTTGAGCACAGAGAAGGTGGCACCACAGCCTGTGCAGTTCCCTGGAAGAAAGAGAGCAGAGGTCAGGTGGGGCTCTTCTGCCTGGGGCTGCAAGTGGCATAAGAATATCATAGCTGTTGTAAAGGCTCAGCTTTGAGGTGACATTGCTGCACCTTCCTGTCCTTGCCCCTCCCAGGAATGCTGGGACCATTCTCCCCACGGAGTGGAAAAGGTCATTGGAGGTGTCAGCACAGACTAGCAGGTACCACACCACTCTCCCCAGCCCCAGTCCTATGGTGACCACTGGAAGCAGCACAGACCCCACACTGCTGAGCTCCCCCAAAGAAGCACCTGCTCCCAAACTCACCAAAGTTGTTGCTGGGGTAGCGCTTGCGCAAGCGCTCAGTCAGGCGTGACACCTTGCTGCGGATCACCTCGTTTTTGCTCATAAAACCATTGTCTGGGAGGCTGAGGTCAAAATCTGCTGAGCACTGAGAGCTCTCATCATCTTCCTGCAGAGAGCAGACCCAGCTGAGCACAGAGGGGTGGCTGGGGGCACACTGGGGGCTGCAGGGCAGCCCACACCAGAGACAGGCATCTGTGTGCTCCACCTGGCATTTCTACAAGCCACTGGCAAACCAGGCAAAGCTCCAGCTGGGAGGAGATGCCACACTCTGGCATGGCAGTACTCACCATGACCAGCAGCTGGTTCTCCTTCTCCCGCAGCATGGGACAGAGAGGAGAGTGAGTACACACGGAGTCAGAGGCACCCAGCCCCACACTCTCTCTGAGCAGCCAGTTTGCCCAACAAGGTCTTTGTCCCTTTCCCACCTCAGCTGCCCTGCAGGCACTGCCCACCCCAACCAGCCTCAAACCTCAATAGCATCTTTGAACTCTTCATCAGGTTCTGCCTCCTCTGCTTCCTCCACACTGCCAGGGGTAAGGTCCTACAAGAGATTCACAAAGCTAGTCCTGCTGGTCCCATGCCTCTGTTCAAAGGTGGTCCCACATTTCTGAGCAGGTTCCAGGACAACAGATCTGGCCCCAGGCAGCCTCATAGATGACACAAGTGTCAGAAGGTGAGATGAGCCCCTGCCTTCTCAGACCACATCCTTACATGTGGCAAAAGGACTGAGCCAAACCCCCAAGGCAGAGAGCAGCACCCCAGTAACACAGGAGTGGCTCACAGGCTTCCAGCAAAGCTGGCAGCTGGAAGAAGTTTGTGTGTAGAGGGACACAGGCAGTTAGACCCAAGGGCTGACTCTGCAGCTCCCACCCCACAACTGCCAGCCCTGCCCCTATCTCACCTCTGCACTGGTGGGGGTAGGGGTCCGATCTGGGGCAGCAGCTGGTGGCAGGGGTTCAGCAGGCTCTGGAGTGCTCTCGAGGGGTTTGGAGCCCACACACTGCTCGATGGAGGCCTTGAGCTCCATTATCACTGGTTAAGAAGGGAATACAGCAGGAGTAGAGTGGCACATCACACAAAAGCCTGCTGCAAGATCTGATCTGCAGGGCTCAAGGTGACACATGGACACATATTAACTCATGAGATGTCCTGAGCACTCCTCTGCTCACACATCAAAGTTAGGGCAGAAAGGAACACCCCCACCACCTGCCCCAGCTCAGGACAGGGAATGGCAGGGGTCAGTGTCACATCACAGATACAGCCAACACTCCTCCAGCACAAGCCACAGAGGAGGGCTCCTCTCACTTCCAATGGCACATTTTCAAGCCTTTGTCATATGCTGCAACAGACACTGATTGTCTTTTAAGTCCTGAAGAGTGAGGTCAGGGATCAAGAGGGGTGGAGAGGCCCACACACAGCTTGCACTGACAGACCCTGGTTCACCATACCACAGAGAAGGAAACAGCACCTGGGCTGAGAAACACATCAGGAGAGGCTCTCATCTCCACCAGCTGAGCCCTGGGGACATACCACCCACCCTGGCCTGTTGAGCATCACCCCTAGGACATCACAGGGGGGGTTCAGGGTCTGTGGTGAAGCCTGACGTAGGACAATGGGCTCATGTGAAAGAGAAGTCCAGGACAGAATTCCTGGCTTCAGGGGGCCCTTCCCCAACCCCTCTCACATAAGGCGCTTCCAGCCGGGTCTCATACCTTGGTAGAACTGGGTGTTGCCCAGAAAGAGAGTGCTGTTGAGGATGGCCAGGACCCAGCAGAGGGGCAGCAGGTAGAGGACACAGATAGTACCCAGTAGCACCCCATAAAACCTGTGGAAAGCAGCAGGATACTGTGGTCAAATCAGAGCAACTCACTTAACAGCATAAAACTCCTTCATCTGATGTTCCACCCGGTCTCTCCAAGCACCAAACACATCAAGCACAGCACCACAGGCCTGACTGAGCCACTCTCCCCACCAAGCCCACCACAGGGTGCCTGACCCAGTACTACTTACTGGGAAGAGATGGTGGGGTTCTCCCAGTACAGAACACGGTACACTGCCTCACAGCTGCAGCACATCCCGCTCAGAAATCCCTCCAGCTGGATCAGGCTGCAAATGACAGAGTCACAAAAAAACCCCACAAAAACACACCCTCGTTCCCCACATTCACACGGGTTACAGTAGCCAAACCGGCATGAGCCCCCCAGAGCTTCCAAGAAGCCTTTCCGGCTGCAGAGGCCCCCATAGTCCCACGGCGGGCGAGGCCCCGGGGACTCACAAGCTCTTGACCTGGGCGATGGCCTCCTGCCGCGAGAGCTGCACCTTGCGCAGATCCTCCCTGCGGATGCTGTGGTACCTCCTGCGCACCAGCTCCGGCTCCGAGAGCCGGGCCCGGCACGTCTCCTGCAGGTAACCCAGCAGCGCCGGCACCGCGACCAGCAGGGCGAGCACCGAGTACCAGGCAGCTGGAAGAGGCGGGTCAGCGTCAGCCCGGAAGGTCCAGGAAGGGGACCGGCCCTGACCGCCGACACGCACCTTGGCCGAGGGTGAGCAGGAGGAAGTTGAGGCCGAGGCAGACCAGGAGAGAGCACACAGGCCGCTGCCACCTGCCGAGAGGGGGAAGGCAAGGGGCGTAAGACCCCGAGGACGGTCTCTGTCTCGATCCCGGCCCAGCCCGCACCTACCGGAGGAGCGAGCGGACGCCCTCGGCGGCGTCCCGCAGCGGCTCCAGGTAGAGCTCCAGCCGCCGGTAGCTCCGCACCAGCTCCAGTA